TATAACTCACTACATTTTTTTGTATTGCAATTTCTTTTTTAATCGATGCTCTGAATTATTTTTGATAATTCAATTTGAAAATGGCACAATATTTTTTTCTCCGAAACGGCACTAATAACTTTTATAACTCACTACAATTTTTTTGTATTGCAATTTCTTTCTTAATCGATACTCTAAATTATTTTTGATAATTCAATACCGAGTATTATATTTTCCCAAAACAAAAACAAAATTTGTAAATCGTTAGACCAATCTCTAACAAGAGTGTACTATTATATTTTTAAAAATATTAATTTTAAATTTAAAATTAAAAAAAAGTAAATTTTCCAAAAATAATCCCACCTTTCATTTATTTGCGAAAAATAGACATTTTCTAAAACTTCCGTTAAGTGGCCGTTAGTTTTTTAACGGCGGCCCAAAACTCGCACACATGTAGAAAGGTGAGATTATTTCCGGTAACAGTGAAAAGTGAGATTATTTTTGAAAGAACGCGAAAAGGTGTGATTATTTGAGATAATTTTTCCTAAAATAAATAAAATAAAATCTATTTGATACTAATCTACATTACACTTTTTATTTGATTGACATTCAATTTTCATCTTATTTGACTCGAAAAAATCAAACAAGATTGGTATATTGTGACGGAGGTAGTGCTTAGTATCTCAAAATACGATTATTACGTTATGATAATCTAACACTAGTACATTGCATTCCATCCTATATATTTTTATTATGTCCGTCCACAAATATATTTTCCGTTGCGCGTTATGATGTTTGACTGAAGTTATCTTCAAATCATTTGATATGAAAAATAATGTAAAGTTTAAAAATAAAAATTACATATTTAAAAATTATATTAAAAGATTTACAAAATTAGAAGTGACATGACTATATTATTTTATCAAATAGACAACAAAAATAGGCTAACAAAATGAATAAAATTTGACTCTGAATAAGAAACAAGAAATTTATTTGTGTACGTATTAATTATATTATTCCGTATTAGCCATTCAAATACGAGATTCCGGGCACTAACTAGAAATTCCAACAGAAAGTTAAAAAAAAAAACTGGTCGGCAGTAAATTGTGTCGCCGTTAAATGTGGACGGCAGCCCACTAGCTGCGGCGGGTAAAAACTGAAAAGTTGAATGTTCAAAGTGGGAGGTGTGATGGGATCGAATGGTTGACTTTGACTTTCTTCCCTCATCCACTACTGTTCCACAAGTGTGGACTGCCCTGCCAGCAGCGATGCCTTCGTTCATTCCTTCAATCATGTGAACTACCACCGTGGAAAAACCCCATTTTGGCCTTTATATCACTTCACCCTCATAACCATATTTTAGTTTGATTTTTTTTAATGAACAAGACCATTCATGTAACATTTGTCATGCTTTCAAAAAAAAATGTAACATTGGTCACAATATCATAAGATAATCTAAAAGTTCTGTAATGTTTTATCGGCCCGGTTCCATGGCCACTGGAATCCAGTGGCCACGGAAGTCACTGCCCCTACGAAACTCCGTTCATAAAATTGATGATTCCTACCCCCCTAACCCCCCGGTAAACCCCCCCGCCAAGTCCCGACCCAAACTCATCACCCCACCTACGTCAATTGCACCTCGTAAGCATAAAGTCAAAACTTTTGACTTTAAAGTCAATTATGCTTACGAGGTGCAATTGACGTAGGTGGGGTGATTAGTTTGGGTCGGGACTTGGCGAGGGTTTACCGGGGGGGTTAGGGGGTAGGAATCATCAATTTTATGAACGGGGTTTCGTAGGGGACAGTGGCTTCCGTGGCCACTGGATTCCAGTGGCCATGGAACCGGGCCGATGTTTTATTTGAAACATTAGTAGTCTCTACTCTTTAGCACCCTCGAGCCTGTCTCGCTGACGAATAGAGGAGGGAGGTGGTCTAGGAGATCGGAGGAATATATAAGGTAGAAACTATCAGTTTTTTGAACAGAATTCTAAGAAGTTTCGGATCATAGCATGATATTGGTAATCAAATTCACATGAATCCGGGAATTTTACGAAACAATGTCGAAAACATCTAAAATTTGTATTTACAGAGTATAATTTTGTAAAGTGTAGAAATGTAATTACATTCGAATGAACAAAAAATGGAATTAGGAATTCAACATTGTGACTTTGAGTGGCATATGATTTGAACATAGTACTTTGTATTACGAGTATTTATATGCACGTCTTTTTCAATCACGACCTTAAATGCATTAAAATCAAATGACAAAATATATGATTTTAACTCCCTCCGTCATTTATAAAGATTCTTTGTTTGGATTTTTTTGTTTGAATATTAAATTAACTTTGTATAGTTTTAGTTTTTAATTAAACACCAACTCTTAAAAACTAGTCTATAATAATATATTGAATTAGAATAATAATTTCAGTTGGTACTCCATATTATAAAGAGAATTACCAATACATGCCAAATAATACCAACATATCAAAGAGAAAGATATTGAAGCCCCATGGCTTTTATTGACTTCGAAAATGATCTAAGAAGCGAGTCTATGTTACGCCAGGTAAATGAGGCTCAGTGAAAATGATAAATACTGCGGTAAATCTTAAAAGTAAAACTGGACAGTCGGGGGCAGTGTTTAGAATCAATTGGTGAAATTGGGAAGAGTGGAACCCGGGGCACACGCTTTGGCCGCCGGAGAGGGCTCGACGGCGGGGGAGGGCGGCACCGGCGTGACGCACAGCTCGGCGGGGAGATCGGGAATGCCACTCAAGTAGAAGGTGTAGAAGAGCTTGAAGGGGAAAATGAGCTGCTGGAGCTTGACATAGCCTGAAACTCCGGCGAAAATCCCAGATCCGCCGGTCACCGCCAGATGCGTCTCCTGGTAGGTCAGGTACGCCCCCTGGACGGAGATTTGACCGTAATCGCCGAAGTAGAAGCTGTAGATCGCCTCGTAACGGTCGCCTTTCTTCTCCTCCTCGTGCGCGATTAGGATGCAGATTCCGGCCGTTATCCCCACCCTCTTCTGCAAATCCCCTGTGTACAACTAACAGAAGAAAAACAGAGCAATTAACTAAAATGAGAAACATTTCATGAAAAAAATTCTCTAGTCAAATAAATGAAGAAACCTTGTTGCTGAAAGGGACAAGGTCGCCGAGAGAGTTGACTGGTTTCTGGCTCAGCCGGAGATACGCCGGACTGCCGCGATCCCTCTCGTTGATCTCGTACACATACAGTTCCTGAACTTTGGCTGTCACGCATTTTTCAAAATTATTACTACGGAGTATTTCAGAATCGTTCAAGAAATGAAAAAAAAGAGGATGGGAATTGCTTACGAGCTGAACTGGATTGGCTGCGGACAGTGAGCGGTCTCTTGGCGGCGGCGGGGCCGGAGGAGGCGGTGCTGATGCGGAGATTTCGGGGGACAAATGGGTTGTGAAGTGGCTGGAGTTTGAGAAGGGAGGGAGAGGCGGGGTAGGTGGAGGGGAGCTTGGCGGATGGAGAAACGGATTTGAGAGTAGCAGAGGCGGAGGAAGCGGCGGCCATGGCTGTAGGTGAGTGATGAGAACGATGAAGGAGAGGTGTTTGATCAAATGACCGAGAGAGAGAGAGAGATTAAACTTGAGTTTCTTCCTTTCTTAATTTACACCCGTTAGCTCCTATTACTCACTACCATATTTATAAAAGAAAATGCTAGGCGGACACTACATGGGTGTTACCATGGGTGCACCCATGCTTTACACAAACAAATACAGATGATAATTGTCTGTGTCGCACTGACAATTATCGTCTGTGTTTGTCTATGTGAAGAATAGTGCACCTATGATAGCACCCATGTGGTGGCACCCTAGTCATTTATAAAGGAATGGGGACACGCATGCTAAGGTTTATTCCGTTTGTCTAAGTTGTTACAGTATTTTTTTTATTTCTAGACGGGATTCTGATTAAATCTAATCTTATTACATTTTATCTGGCTGAGTTAATATAATTTAATACGATTTAATTTTAATAAGAATAAGTAATAAGTTGAAAAATAAGTTGAACAGAGTAGACCTCAAGAGTTTGTTTTGTTCAACTTTCATTCTTATTACTTCCTCCGCCCCAATATATTTGTCTCGTTTGACTTTTTTGAGTCAAACTAGATAAACTTTGAGATTTAATTAAATAAAACCAAAGTGTATTTTAACATAAAAATAACTTTATTAGATTTATCATATTGAGAATTTTCAAAATTTTATTTCATTATACCAACATGTAATACAAATTGAGAGAAATTAGAGTTTAAAGTTTGTCCAATTTGACTCGAAAAAAGTCAAACTGAACAAATATACTGGGAAGGATGTAGTGTTATTTATTTTATTAGAATCAATTCAAATTAGATCAGATCAGCAATAACTATAATTACAATTGTAGTCGGTTTAGATCAGATCTGGCAAAAAATTATTCCAATAATATTACGTGAAAAGAACAAGTTGTAATTACGGAACAGTGATCTGCGTATTCCCAGAGGCTACATGTAACACCCTAATCCGTCCAGGTCTGCAACCCCATTCGGACTAAAGTATTGATTTGGCAATCGTGATAATTTAAAACTTTTCAAACATACTTTATTAATCCCAATAATATTTTTCATAACATATACAATACGGAGTATTTAACAATATTGCGGAAGCGAATTTAATATTGACATATCATAAATTATTTCAAAACTTGTCACATCCATCCTGACAATCTCGCCCATCTTCCGCCAGGATCACATTAATCTTTCTGTTTACCTGCGTGTAGCAAATAAAACACACTACACGCTCAACGGTGAAGCTGAGTAAGCATATCTAAAGCGTCGAACATCCAAATAAATTGAATCTCAATTCATAATCCACCATTTGATATCATGCACACAATATAAGATTCAAACATTCATGATATTCTCAATATTTTATTTCAAGTCATTTGATATTCAATATCTCAACCATGCTCTTAAATTATTCTTAATCTAAGGCCAAATCATTTTATAATAAGCTCTTAGCTATTCCTAGTCTAAGGCAACACTTCTAACCAGGCCCTTAAACTATAAATAGTTTAATGCAGAACACAAGAATCGATAATCCACCCTATGAGTCATGTGGATTACGTACCAACCGAACAATGATTTGTCGGGTGGGTGATATCCGGTCTGGATCCCGTACGTACGTTTTAACCCGAAATATGAATTGGTCAAGTAGGTATATCTTAGAGTTCTTCTAGATATCCTTAA